ACCATGAAACCTAAAAACTTTCCAGACTCCACTCCGAAGATGCACTTGGCTGGGTTTAACCGCATCTGGTTCTTTCTGAGGTTGTTAAAGGTTTCATCGAGGTCGGCTAGATGGTTTTCTGCCTTCAGACTCTTTACCACAATGTCATCCACATACACCTCCAAATTCTTGCCGATCTGAGCTCGGAAGACGATGGTCACCATTTTCTGATAAGTAGCACCGGCGTTCTTTAAGCCAAACGGCATCATGACATAGCAATAAATTTCATCACTAGCATAGAATGAGGTTTTCTCTTCATCTTCGGGAGCCATCGGCACCTGGTGATACCCAGAATATGCATCCAAGAGGCTTAACCTCTCATTGCTTGAAGCCGCTTCAACTAATTTGTCAATGCTCGGCATCGGATAGCAATTCTTAGGGCATGCGTGGTTAAGATTTGTGTAATCAATACACATTCGCCATTTACCGTTTGCCTTCTTCACCAGAACTGGGTTAGCCACCCATTCGCAGTAATCAACTTTCCTGACAAAGCTGGCTTGTAGGAGTTTCTCTACCTCTTCTTTAATAGCCTGAAGCCTCTCCCCCCAGAAGAGACATCGCTTCTGGGCCACTGGTTTCTTCAATGGGTTGGTACTGAGCTTATGTTGACATACTGAAGTTGGAATTCCTGGCATATCTGCCGAAGTCCATGCAAATACATCATTGTTAGCTCGGAGAAAAGCTATCAGTTCTGCTCTCTCCTCCGGGTTCAATCTAGTTCCGATCTCCGTCTTTCGGCTCGGATCTCTGTCATCAACGAGCACGTCTTCAACATCTTCGACCGGAGCAACTCTGGTTTCGTCTTCCGGTCGATTATCAACGATCTCTACACCCATAACCTGCTGATTATCAGGAACTCGCTGGGGAATGACCTCGGGTGTCTTATCTTTGCCCTTGGTTGGTTGTGTTACCGAGGTGATATAACAGTGTCTGGCCACCTCCTGATTTCCTCGCAGTGTTG